ATCCTGTGTCCGTGCAGAGAAAATGAGACAAGGCTATATGTGCCAACTATAGAGGAATAAATCTCCTTCCCATCGAATATAATGGGTCCAACATTGCGAGGTGGCTGTTACCGATCTTGGAGAATGGAGAAGGATTCTGCCAGAGTGGGTATGGCAGTAAATAGCGAGACGACCAAGCTGATGGTATCAACGCCCAAGACGTCCAGTAGACTCGGATCAACTTTGGAACTTGAAAACTACAGATATGAGATAGTCAAAGATTTTATATACCTCGGTACGCGATAAATAAAACTAATGACATCAGGATTGTGTTGGCCAGCAGATGCTACTATGGTGTAAGTAAGCAATTCAGTATCATGGCCACCTCTAGCCAGACCAAACTCACACTCTACAAGATGTTGATACTACCCAAACTGGTGTATAGATCAGAAGAGAATGGAGTGTTTGAGAAAGATCTACGGACCGATCTACGACAACAGTGAATATCGGCATCGAATGCACCACGAGCTATACCATCTACACACGGACATTGATAAAATATCTTATCGAGCTGCAGCGACTACGGTGGCTGGGTCATGTTGTGCGAAAGCGAGCCTACTGATGGTTCACGCAGAAGGGGAAGGCCACGAATTCGATGGAAAGATCAAGTGAAGGATGACATATCAAAGCATGGCCTTTCAAATTTTTGGATTTTTTCTCTAAGCTAAATTTGTAGATCTTATAAAGCTGAAGAGAAAAAAGATATTTCAAACCCACCAAGTCGAAAAACTTAAAACAGATTTAAACAAAACTCTTGGCTAAAATTAAAAAAACAAGATAGGGGTTTTTCTTCTACTTTCAGATTTGGGGGTATGGTTATATGTGGGCGATACCATAACCCGGATCTCTATGTACCATCGATCAGCATTTTATTCTGGGGTCTTCGACGATTATTTCGAGGTTTTTCCAATGGAAAGACAAATTTAATTTACACTCCACCTTAAAAGGGAAGCCATGGCAAAATTTAAATCAAAATATCTTCCTTCGAAATGTACGCATATTATGTGTTCAGTAGTAAAAATTGCAAAATAATTTATATTTCTAAATATTTTGAAGTTCCCTGCCACTAAAATTATTAATATAAGTTGTAACAACCATGGTTAAATCTTGAGAGCAAAGTTCAACATATATGTACATATAAAATATAAGGAATTTATTTTTCAATTCCTAATTAAAAAGGGTTGCCATCATAAAATTCTCAAATGAAACTTATTCAATTTATTTATTCCATGTCGTGAGTGGAAGCGAATAAATAAATTGAATAAGTTTCATTTACATTTCTGTCACAAAATTTAAGGGCACCCTGTCTAAGATAATAGTTCACATCCATTGATGTCATTTTCGGTCGGTTGGTTGGCTGTCAATGCCCTTTTTAAATGACACGTATCGGACAGGCGAACTTACATACAAAAAATGTTGCAATGTTCTTATTTGCATGGTGGTCTTGAGTATTTCATTGTTGTTCTTGTTATTATTCGATTGTGCTTCGAAAAGGGTGGGGTCTCCCAAGATGCTGACTGGGTGATAAGAGAGGTCCACTTATACGATGTCAATTTATTACTTTTATGTTTTTTGAAATAGGTTATCGTTGTTGTCTCTTTGCAAATCTCACCGGATAACATTCTGCTTAAAATATTGTAGATGTCAAAATGTTGACAATCAGTTTAGATGCATAGACAAACCATTTACACACACAAATATATTTTAATATATTGATGCTATTTTGTGGGAGGTGGGGGGGGGGGGTTAAACATATTGAAAATATCAATGGCCTCAATTATTTTTGGTGCTTTAACATGGTTACGCTTTAATGAAATCCACAGAAAGAGTGGACAAACTAATTTGCATAATGTTTTTGTAGTTGTTTGTGTAAATATGTATAAACTTTTAGGAACATATTAATTTAAATAATTTAATTTTAGAAATTTATGTGGAAATCGACTGACTCTATTTAGTAGTTCTGTGTTTTCAAAAAAAAAACTTTTGTAAAAGGATAAGTTTGTGGTTTTTTTGTGATAAATTGAATTTAAAAGTTGATCGCTTTTTTTTCATTTTGCTGAAACCTAAAAATCATTTTATACATTTTACATATTTGGAATAATTCCAAGAATTAAAATTCATTGGTGGTGTACTGTAAATTATATTTGTGGTTTTTGTGATTAGATTAGCTACACTGCTAATCTAGAGTCACAAAAGGAGGACACTACTATTAGCACGGTATTTTTTAATTATTTACAATAAAGAAAAGTTTTGGTATTTCGGCTTGTTGGCATATATATATATTCAAGTTTTGGCAAAAAAGTCGTGCTCATTGTCGGTATGTGGAAGGTTTGGATGCGAACTTGACGTGGTATTCAGTTTGTAAATAGGGGTTTACACTTTGGATTTTTGTGAGCAACTCTGCAGAGTTCTTAGGAGAGAGAGCTATGAAAAGTGTAGAGGGGAAATACATTCTTACCTTGGAATGCATATAAACACATTGACGACACCTACTTAGTGTATAGAGGCTATTTTTGTTTAAAGATACTAGAAATTTTTCATAAGAGCGATAGAGCATGTATAATTTAAGACAGAACTTGGAAATCATATTTATTGCTAACTAGCATATGTCCGCTACTTCATTAGCAGATGTGAGAATTATTTAAAAATTTCAAAATTTTTACTTTGCTTTCACAGAGAATTGATTCCAGGAATGAAGCTCTATCATTTCACCCAAAATTTTATTTCCCGATTTCAGGATTCCAGCTCTTTCGGTTCACCCAAAATTTAAATTGTACCAAATTTAGTACACATTAGTGTACATTTCCAAAACCTCCCAACATAGCCTAATAGTACACCCCAACAGTGATCCTAACTTCAAATTTCAAGATTCTAGTTCACCTAAATCCCCATTTGGTACTATTTAGTACACATTAGTAAAATTTTCCAAAACTTACTACATAGCCCAATCCTACAACCCAACAGCTAACTAACTCCTAACTCAAAATTTCAGAATTAGTACAAATTTCCAAAATTTCCTACATAGCACAATCCTACACCCCAACAGTGATCCTAACTTCAAATTTCAGGATTCCATCGGTTAACCCAAAATTCAATTTGTACCAAATTTGGTACCATTTAGTACTCATACGTATGAACTTCTAAAACTTCATCCATATACCAATCCTACAGCTCTATCGGTTCCCTCAAAATCCTAATTTGCTACCATATAGTACATATTAGTACTAATTTCCAAAGCTTCCTACATAGCCCAATCCTGCACCCCAACAATGATCCTAACTCCAAATTTCAGGATTTCAGCTCTTTCGGTTCACTCAACTCCACATTTGATGCCATTTAGTACACATTAGTACAATTTTCCAAAATTTCCTACATAGCCTACTCCTATATCCTAACACCGATCGGAAGTCTAAATTGTATGATTTCAACTTTTTTGGTTCACCCAAAATAGAAATTGTACCAAATTTAGTACGCATAAGTACGATTTTTTCAAACTTCCTATAGTATACAACCAATGGAAATTTTATTTGCCGATTTCAGTATTCCATCAAAAATCAAAATTTATATTGTACTAAATTTAGTACACATAGTACTAATTTCTAAAACTTTATACAACTAACCAAATTTAGTACCATTTAGTACTCATAAGTATGAATTTCTAGAAATACAACTATACACCAAACCAACACTCCAATAGTAACCATATTTCCGAATTTCAGTTTTACAGCTCTATCAGTTCTCCCAAACCCAAATTTGGTACCATTTAGTATGAATTTCCAAAACTTTCTACATAGCCCAACCCTACACTCTAATAGTGATCCAAACTCTAAATTTCAAGAATCCAGCTCTATCGGTTCACCAATATCAACATTTAGTACCATTTAGTACGAATATCCGAAATTTTCTACATCTCAACATACATGGCACTAACTCCAAATTTCAGTCTTCCAGCTCTATAGGTTCACCCAAGTCCAAATTGTATCACATAATAGTACGATATAGTTTTTTTTTACACAATAGTTTAAAATTTCCAAAAATACGTACATATCCCAATCCTACACTCCGACGGTAATGTTTATTTCAAATATCAGGACTCCAGCTCCATCCTTATCTCCAAATTGAAACTGTACCAAATATTGTACCATATAGTACTTTTCGTATACATGAGTACACACTTCCAGAACAACCTCCTTATATTGTCCCTACTTCTCAACATTGATTCGCAGTACAAATTTCTAGATTTAGCTCTTTCCGTTCACATGCTATACAATTGTACCATATTTAGTACATTTTATTACTTTTCAGATACTTATAATTCTAAAAAATCCTTTGGTTCAGTCTATTCTACACTATATCGGTGACCCTCATTGCAAGTTCCAGAGTTATAGCTCTACCGATTCGCCAAATACTAATGGTACCATATTTAGTACTTGTTAGTACTTTTCGTTCTGTTCCAATACCCTGACACCTTTGGATAAAGAGTGACCCCCACCCAAAATTTCAAGATTCTAGTTTCAGCCATTTCGCCTACGGAAAATTCAAACTTTTGTAAACGTTACAAAAAGTCAGTGAGGTTAGTAGACCTCTTGACTTAAGAGGTTGTAGAACCCCGAAATATTTGTCCGTTTAGTATTACGGTTGCAGTTCAAAACTCGTTGCAACAAATCGGTTCTGGTCAAGGAGGATGATAATCCGAAGAAAATGAAATTTAACACAGAGTAAACAAGCAAATCTACGAATTTAAATAGACTTCCGAATTAAGTTGAGAATGACGTTAGTCCGAACTCTATGCCTTTCTCGCCTTCTAAAATATGTACTTTCCGGGTCGATTAGATCTCTCTCTAATCGACCCTCTTCATAATTTCTTTTGAGTGTATTACTAACACAATTGTAAAAGCTCAACAACTCTTCCACTTACTTACCATTAAACTTGAACTGATTATCGGCCTATGCCTATCTATTCTTATAATTTACCGCTACGATAATGAACCGGCCTGTGGCCGCCAAACAGGATTCGTTTGAAGGCCTGCCTAAACTCCGGACTAAAAATCGTGTAGATGACGGGATTCAGTGTTGAATTGAAATAGCCCAGCCACAGAAACAGCGACGCTACACCATCGTTAATTTCACAGGCTTCACAGAGCGGCAGCAGTAGAGCCATGACAAAGAATGGCAGCCAACAGACGACAAAAGCTCCCGTTATGATGGCCAGCGTTTTTGCCGCCTTACGTTCACGTTTCGCTTCTAGTGTTTCTTTCCGTTTGGTGACCTTATGCATGGGATTTGCTATGCTGGACAATTGTTGGGGATTTTTGGGTCGTGGCAACGGTGTCGCCTGTTGACTGGAGGTCGAAACGGAAGCCGGTGTTGTGTGCGAGGTATGTGCCGTGGGGGCAGATGGTGTGGCGGCGTTTGGTGTTTGCGGTGATAAGGCTGATATGGAGGTGATGGTTGTGGCATTGGAGGCACTGGTGCCAGCACCACCGCCTCCTCCCGCTCCCACCACTGTTTTATTAGCCGTTGTGGCTATTGTTGCTGTCGTCGTCGTCGTCGTCGCCACCGCCACTGTCCCTGTTGGTGGAATGGCAGCAGCCATCGAGGCTGGCACCTCGTTTTGTGTTTGTTGTTGTACTTGTTCCAATTGTTGTTGCAATTGTGGATCGGCCAACACTTCGGTGTCATCAACTTGCTGCTGCTGATGATGATGGCTATTGTTGTGCACCACAGTTGAGGACATGCCATTGGCCGACACTGTCGTGACATTCACAGCATCTGCAGGCGTTGAGGCTGTAGTTTTAACCGGTTCCAGCGGATTTTCCACCACTGTCACCGGTTGTGTCAGACATTTGCTTGGCGCTGATGCTGATACCGATGAGGATGATGACGTTTGTTTCGCTGAGGCATTGCGTTGTTGATTAGCTAAAGCTACCAGGTGGGATACAGTGGCAATTTGTGTTGTTGATGATGTTGATGGTATCTGCAAATAGAAGAGAATAAATGATGAATTTATTGTGGGTTGATAATGGGTGTTTATATATCTCATAGGCGTTATGTTGAATAAAAGAAATGTTTAAGATTAGTTAATTGAATTTTCGTTAGTCTACATTTCTTAAAAGAGGCTTAGCTACACTTTAGGTATATAAGTATCTTTAAATTTGGCTTTGTAATATTTTTGAAAAAAAAATGAAATGTTTACATAATTGTGATGTAAAGAAAACATAGACCCATGTTTTCGTGTTATTGTTCTCCTATTGCACACTATTCACATTTTTTAATACAATTACCCAATTTGTTCATTTAATTCAAGTAGACAAATATTCAATGTCTGTTGACATTTTAAATATTAAAAAAACGAAAATGTTTTCTGCATTTTATCATTACTGTTTATTGTTGTGGTTGTTGACATTGTTAATGGTGGTGGTGGAAATGCCCCAAGAAAATGTTTGCGAAAATGTAATTTATTCCATTGTTTATCTTCGTTTCACTGTTGCTGCTTCTGGCTGATGTAATGATAATTTTTCATAGGTCATATCTCCTCAGTCTTCGGCGATTGGCATTAAGTGAAGAGCATTTTAACATTATGAGTAATAATAACAAACGCACACACACACAAACGCCTACACACGTTCGAGAATGGAATCCGTAAATAGGGTATAGTGTATGTCCGTATAATGTATTTTTAAATGTTCCATCTACAATGGGATGAAGTGTGCAATATGATTTGCATGCCATTTGTAATATCTCTGAATCATCGGAATTGTGTATTTTTAGACAAGTTGGTATTTCGTATTTTTTTTTTGCAAAGGTTTGAAAATGCCATGTCTATGGTTCAATTTAAATTGGTACATATATCAGATATTTAATTTCGTCCGATTCCATGTCAATGGTCCTTCAAAGATGCTACGATTAAATTTTGTTTGATTAAGTTTGTAATACCGATTGCAACATCTCGAAATAATCGTCGGAGATGCATATTGTATTTCAATTCTTGATCAGAATAAAATTCTATGACGATTTATCCATGCCCGGCTGTCTGTCCGTCCGTCTGTTGAAATCACAGTACTGAAGATAGAGCTTTGATATTTTGCTCATACCTGGCTACACTCCTATGATGTTTGGTATTGCAAATGGAGTATATATCGGTCCATCTTTAAGGTATCGGTACCGCCCAATATTCTGAAGTTTTGTGGGATTTGCAACGACAACTGGGTCGAGAATATCCCTACCAAAAATCAGTTCACGGTTGAAATAGCTCCCATGTAACGGTACCACCACATTTTCGTTATTATGAAGATTTTAATCGCATGTTACCACCAAAGTAACAGTAAGTTCGCATTGCGGTAGACTAACATTCATATATAAATTATATAGATTTAAAAGTGATCAGAATTCCAACTTTCCAGTATTTGTGTAACTACCCAAAGGTTCCACATTTAGTTCCATTCAGCACTTTTCCAACACATAATTACAAAAGTCTACCTTTATATATCAATCGTGCTTATAATTTCACTAAATATAGTACCAGTTAGTATCAAAAACCCTTTGGTATTTCCTTTTAACTCCCCGTTAGTGAGCCAAGCATTCCAAAATTCCGTTACCCAAGTACAAATTGTTCCAAATTTACTACATTTAGTACTATTTGTACACATAAATTCGAATTTCCAGAGCTGTCCCTCAACCGTACACTTAATCAGTAATTTAAATTAAAAATCTCAGAATTCCAGGTCTATCCATTCATCCAAATCTAAATTATACCAAATTTATAACCATTTAGTACTTTTCATACTTATAAGTAAGAATTTCTAAAACTACATCAATTCTACACTCTATCAGTAATCTTAATACCACCATAGTCCAAATTGTACCAAATTTAGTAGTTTTCGTACTCATAAGTACGATTATATTAAACTATCTCAATCGTGCATTCAGTCCTGTCAAAATTTAAGAATTCCAGCTCTATCTGCTCACCAAAATATAAATTGTACCACATTTGATACCACTTTTCGTACCCATAACCCAAAACTATTTCAGTCCTACAATCCGACAGTAATTTTAGTTGCAGGATTACAGTTCTACGCATTCACCAAATTCCAAATTGTAACAAATTAAGTAAATTTTGTACCCATAAGTAAGAATTTCCAAAGCTACCCCAGTCAGCACCCCAATAATAATCTTAAATCCACATTTAAGGATTCCAGCTCTATCCGTTCACCAACATATAAATTGTACCAAAATTAGTACCATTTATTACTTACAACAGTAATTTTAATTATAAATTTCAGGATTTCAGCCCTACCCGTTCACACAGATCTAAAGTGTGAATTTTCTTGGTTAACTCAATAATGTTTTTAGCAGTAATCTTTGTACACATACAATCCAACAAGAATTTTAATCTCAAATTTCAAGATTTCAGCTCTATTCATTCACACAAAAACAAATTGTAAAATTTTTGGTACCATAAGTACGAATTTTCTAAACCTCAAGCCTACACTCCAACAGTAATTATAATTCCAAATTTCTGGAGTCTAGCTCTATCCGTTCACACATAATTCAGTTGTACCACATATATTACAGAATAAGTACAATATTTCCATATCTCAATTTTACACTCCAACAGCAACCATTATTCCAAATTCAAGGTTTTTATTGCACCAAATCTGGTGCCCTTTAGTACTTTTCGTATATATAGAAAAGGAATTTCTAAAGCTATCTCCATAGCTCAATCCTCATCTGTAATCCTTATTCCAAAATTTCGTTTTTTAACTCTATCCGTTCACCAGAATTCCAAATTGTACTAAATTTAGTAACATTTAGTACTTTTCGTACCCATAATACGAATTTCCCAAACTACTCCAATCCTACAATCCATTTTAACTCTAGCTATATCTGTTCACATAAATTTAGTACCATTTAGTACTTTTTGTGCACCAAAGTAAGTACCTCAATCCTGTACTACAATATATAATAGCACGGGTAGTATCAGCGTTTTGTAAAGTGTGAGTTTGGTCTGGCGGGAGGTGGTCTGTTTCTAAACTGCTTACTTAGACCATAGTAGCATCTGTTGGCTATCACAATCCTTCTCCGAATTTCAAAACTGATGTCATTCGTTTTATTTATGGCGGTACCAAGGTATATAAAGTCTTCAACTACCGCGTAGCTGTAGTTCTCAAGTTCCACAGTTGGTCCGAGTCTACTGGACGTCTTGCGCGTTGATACCATCAGCTTGGTCTTCTCGCCGTTTACTGTCAGACCCACTTTGGCAGACTCCTTTTCAATTTGTTCAATGGTGGCTGTTACCGATCGCAGAGTTCGACCCATTATATCGATGTCATCGGCGTAGGCGAGTAACATGTGTTGTTTGGTGTACAGAGTGCCATTTCTGTTCACCTTTGTATCTCGTATGACCTTTTACAGTAGGATGTTAAAAAAATCACACGACAAACTATCACCTTGTCTGAATCCTTGTTCGGTATTGAAGGGATCCGATAGGTCTTTTCCTACTTTAACTGCTGACCTTGTGCCACTTAAAGTTATCCTGCATAGCCGTATTAATTTTGCAGGAATGCCGAACGTAGACATGGCTTTAAACACCTCTGAACGGATAGGGCTGTCGAATGCGGCTTTATAGTCGACAAATAGGTGGTATGTGTCGATGTGTTTTTCGTGGGTCTTTTCCAGGATTTGGCACAGTTTGAAAATCTGGTCAATGGTGGATTTGCCAGGTCTGAAGCCGCATTGGTATGGTCCGATGATGTCATTGACCATTGGCTTCAATCGTTCACACAGCACACTGGATAGCACTTTATATGCGATGGGAAGGAGACATATTCCTGTATAGTTGGCACATATCGTCTTGTCTCCTTTTTTGTGCACGGGAAACAGGATGCTGAGGTTCCAATCATTGGGCATGCATACATCTAGCCAAATTGTACATATCGGATTTTATGGAAACTGTCACATTTATTTATGGGATATATATATCCGAACGGAAACCTTGCCCAAAACTTGATTACAGATTGGCCTTGGGACGCATTTTAATGTGCCTGAACATTGAAACTAAGTAAGCCTAAATAAGGTGCATATCCGATTCTTTCTTGTCGAACCTAATAATAAGTTTATATCTTAAAAGTAAAAATAATTGCTGCATTGTTTTTTGCTGATTTTGAATCAAGGCTTTGTAATGGCATTTATATAACCAACCAAACATAAAACAGGGATTCATTTGTGGCACCATTTACTTGAATTTATGGCCAAGTTAAAACAAACACAGAGAGGCTACACACAGGCAGACTACTCAGCAGATTGCCACTTCAATGAACATTCATACACTTAAAAGATCGCTCTTGCTCGCCCCCCCCCCTCTCTTGGCAGCATTTAACTCCACTCATTTGCCTGGTCAGGGTAATTGCAAAATGGACAAGTAATGTGTTGTGGCCGTTGTTGTCGTTGTTGTTGGCGAGTAATGGTGGCTACTGCTGATGCTCAAGTTTGAAAAGCTTCATTTGGACAATCACTTGTTCGTACGTCCGTTCCTCACTCACTCACTCACAGACTGGTTCACTTAGTCATTTATTCATCCATTCACTTACAGTGAATTATACATATTTGACTCACTTGTGTGCCACTTTTGGTCCATTCATTTATTCATCCATCCATCCGTCTTTCCTCCGACCCATCCACATATACTTACAGCCACTTATTTTCATTAGGTTTTTGTTTGTTTATTTGTACTACCACTGTTGATGTTCTTGTTGCTGTTGTATGTGTGTCCTAATTGTATATTGTATGCGGCACCACACACACACACAACGCAATAAAAACAGATTTCGAAAATATATATATTTTTGGAAAAGTTTGAAATCATACATGCAAAATATTTCTGTAGAAATTCAGATCTTTTGCCTGGCCCACAAATTAGCATTTTAAATCACTGTCAGACGCACAAATCATCCAAATTGCAATCATAAATTTAAGAGA